CCCAGAGCCACTGCAGGGTCAGTGGGAACCGCTGCTCAGTTACTTCAGGCTTGGTCTCCCCTCTAATTGTCCCTGAGAGACTGCACCCCTCGGTGTCCCTGAGAGAAGGGCGGGCGTCACTGGATCTTAAAAGCCAGGTGGACTCAGTCTCCTGGCCCACAGGAGGGGGGTCTGACACTGACCCTGTGTCCTGTCTCCTTGTTGAGCCCCAGCCCCAGGGGAGAGGAGGGAGGCCCCAGGCCCCTGGTACCTGCGCGCTGCAGCACCTCCTTCCCCATGGCCAGGACTCTGTGGAGCAACTCCAGGCAGTCGTCCTGCAGGTAGAGTCTCCTTTCCTCAGTCTCACCAGCCTCCTCCCACTTGCGCGGGTGATCTGAGCAGCGATGTTGGCCGCGGTCCAGGAGCGCAGGTCCTCGTTCAGGGCGATGTAGTCTGTTCCGTCGTAAGCGTACTGGTGGTACCCGCGGAGGAGGCGGCCGTCCGGTCCCATGTCACAGCCCCGCATCCCCTGGAGTGTGTGAGACCCTGACCCGCCCCGAGGTCAGTGTCGCCCACTGAGCTGCGCCCCCTCCCCGCCCGCGGGGATTAAACAGAAACTGAAAGTGAACCCGGGTCCAGGTCCCCGAGGGCTCCTCCCGGGTGTGTGTGTGGGGGGAGGGTTGGGGTGAAGCTCGCACCCGGACACTCGGGGCGACTCCGGCCCTTCCGAGGGGATGGGGGTGGTGACCGGCCCCGGGCCCCGTGGCTCACCGTCCAGGCTCTGGTTGTAGTAGTCGCGCAGGTTTTGCAGGTTCAGTCGGAAAGTCTGTGCGGAGTCCCTGGCGTTCCTGGTGCTCTGGTCCCAATAGCCCGGCTCCTCCTCTTCCATCCACGGCGCCCGCGGCTCCGCTCTCGGACCCTCCGAGTCGCTGTCGAACCGCTCGAACTGCGTGTCATCCATGTAGCCCACGATGACGAAGCGGGGCCTTCGGTGGCCCGGCCGGGAAGCGGCGGTGTAGAAATATCTCAGGGAGTGGGGGTCTGGAGGCCGGAAAAGGGGGGACAGAACGGAGAAGAGAGGGGTCGGACGGTGGG